GGTATATGTACATGTTATCTTCTAACTAATACTTAATTTTAGATTAGAGTTAGCTTTGGAAGTAAGTGTATAAGGTGCTAGATATTCTTTGTTTCAGAAAAGATATAATTGTGAATATATTTTGTGGAGTAGGATAACTAATATTTGTTATTGGACTATTGTTTTGAAAAAATGCAATTTAAGTGAGAGCTGAAAACATTTTTTGTTTTTACCAAAGTGCACTGAAAAAAAGGCTGTAAGAAAAGAGCATCGAAAAATTGATTGAAAAACAGATTAAGAATTATTTCAAATATTTTTAAAGAAGTGTCAGTTTAGCTTGGGAATTACATTAAATCAAGCTTAACAGATCTAACAAAGTTTATACAATATGTTAAATTAAAATAAATATCCCCCTTCTTTTTATAATATTTATTCGTTTTTATAAATATTTTCTATCAAATTAAATATATTTATTATATTGGTAATTATTTACTGCTATTTTTAAAAAGCTTTATTTAGCTGGCTCAAGGTCCGGGGCTTAGTTTATTAATTTCAAAAATGTAAAATAATTTTGATTTCATATATATTTTACCGATATATTTCTTTAGGAAACCTTTTTTTCACGTCTGCGTTTCTTGGCGTGGAGGTCGAAACTGTTTAATTATAGTATATATTATCTTTTATATCGTGTATATCGTGTAATTATCTTTTATATAGTGTAAAAAAAGTAAAACATTTTGAAGATATTAATATCAATCTGTTTCTTTTAACACAAGTCGTAAAAACAGGCAAAGCCAAACCTGAACTGAATTATATTCTTTTCTAGGTCTAAGATCAAAGTCATTTTTGTTACATATTTGAATAAATTATTATGACATTTTTTTGATTTTGACTACGGATACTTTCAGTTCTCTGAATATTTAAATTTGACTAATTTCGTTAAATATATATACCTACAAATATATATATACTTAAAATGAATACACAAATTGGACTGATTTCCTAATGTATGTATACAATTAAATTAAATAATTATATTTCTGTATACTTTATTCTCCAACTCTATTCCATAGTTGGTTCAAATATAACGAATCAAGTTTCGAACCAGATCCTGGATATATAGCTTGTGAGACATTTAAAAATAAGGTTAAAGGAAATTACCCAATTTCCTTCAACTTTTCCTAAATACAGTCATGCAAATGAAATGCATAACATATTGCTTAGCACCGATTGCTGTGATTTCTTGTTAAATAGTTGCCATGCAGCATATCCAGCTCAAAAAGCAGTTTTTAATTTTTCACTTGCTCGTTTCGGTAATTGACGTGGAGCAATTGAAAACCAAATAAAAATAAAAATGAACAGAGAAGAGAAAAAAAGTCTGTCAAAAGTTTTCAGAGTGTAACGAGAAATGCGATAACAGGCCGGGCGCTCGCCTTGACAGCACTTGCAAAATGTTGCAACATTAGAAAAAAAAAAATTAAAAAAGAAATGATAATGGCATCCCCGACGACTTTGTGGACTTCCTGTTGCGTTGCGCAATGAACTTCAACTTCAAAAGTCGCGCTGCCCGAACCGAACGACAAAAATCGAAATAAAATTAAATTTCGGAAATGAACTCGTTTCTTTGCCATTTAGCGGAAGTGGCCGCCGCCATCGCATAATCAAATTTCTACAGTCGCGTCCAGCTCCAGCCGAGTAACTGTGTCTGTAGGATCGTGCAGCTGGAGCCCAGGAGTCGAGCTCTTGTTATTGTTGCTGCCGAAAAGTGAAAGCTTGCACGCCAGGTCTGCGCCAGCTCCAGATCGAGACGTTTTTTTTTCTTTGGCGGCATTCCGCAGATGCGACTGCCTCTATCCTCACACAATGTGCCTATTGCCGGCTGACAAATTGACTAACTGCAGGCGCCGCAGCAGCATCCTGCCGCATGCCAGCTGTTTAGTTTGTATACCCTTGCGCAGGGTATTACAATAGAAGACGACGGTTGTGTCACTTTAAAGTATGTATATGTATCCATAAGCAATTAGCTATGAGCATGTTCCCTTGCAGTCTGTTTTCAGTAGTTTTTAAAATTCTGAAGCTCTTTTTATGAGACTTGGAACAGATACGTCCTTTTGTTACAGTCCCTACATAATGTCGGAGTCGGAGTCTGATCAATAAGTATGATATTTAGCTGCCATAGATATGATCGAAATAAAAATAACCACTTTTTCTTTTTCAAAATTACTTCATCAAACTTGGCTTTCAATAGTTTCACTGTACTTCTAATATATATAAGAATCTGATCAACATTAACAAAAGTTTTTAATGCGAGAACTTATTTTTCGACAGATAATTCCAAAGGCTGTTCGAAATGTTTGGTACATATTTCAAATACCCTTTGTTTGAAATATTTGGTACATATATCAAAAGCCCTTTGGCATTATCAATTGAAAAATATGAAGGTAACTTTGGATTTAGGAGCTTCGTCCAGCTCCTAACTGATCTGCACCTTCATCGCCTTCGGGAGGTGCGGATTACATTGATCTTATCAACATTGGATGACTTTATTATATATCTTCTAAATAACCAATAAATCCTGATCTATTTCAAGATCTTTTCATCGTGCCACCTTATTAAACAAATATTTTCCAAAAATGTAGGGTAATTTTTTCTTGAGCAAGAAATTATGTTCAAAATTAGTGAATTTTATGAAGTAAAGAATAGTAATCAAATTATTATTAAAAAAAATATTTAAAAACGGAAAGGTCGCCAAAATTAGCATGAAAAGTTTTCAATCAATGTCAATTGTAAATTGTAAAAATTGTAAAATATTAAATTTCAAATTTTATAGTATCTAATGCTTATAACACTCAAGATACATTCAGTCGAAGCTAAGTTTTATTTTAAATATCATATCTAATAGCACATCTGCTAAAAGGTCTGGAAGGGTATTTATTTGGGCGGTTCTCTGGGGGTTACATTTGCCTGTGAATTTATTGCCGAGCCGTACGTAAATGAGCGGTAGCACCTGGGCAGCGGCAGCATTGCGTGTCGTCGAGCTGCTGTCACGGCTGGAATTGCATTTGTTGCAATTGCCACACGTCGACTTCGACGACGACGTCGACGACGACTCGCGGTGCGTCTACAATTTTCCAGCTGGCGCTTTAATTGTAGCTCGTTTTATTTAACTTTACGAGTGGCTTGTGTGCTTTTTTCTTTTTATTATTATCAGTTTTTATTTGCATTGAATGCGCAATGCAATTTCATTATTTATCATTTTGTTGTCGGATCGCATAAACCTGCATATATTCCGAGCCATGACTATTTCACCATTTTCTCGCTAAGTTTGCCACGCAATTTCATCTTTATAGTAATTCTCGATTTGCTCTCGCATCTGTCTGAAGTGACTAATTAATGGGCTCTAATAGTGTCATTTCCTAGCTAATTTATAAGTATTAACATTTTTTTTTTGGCCATTCGTTGGATTAGCAGTTGGCTAAATAGTTAAGAGCGTGGCAAGTAGTTGAAATTAGTATAAGGCCTTTTTCGGGTCCATTAATTTAATGGGCTCGAAGCTGTTGTTGCCTTTGATATCTCTGAACTAAAAGGTCAACGGGTTTTCTGTTGACTACTTGGTAATTGGCCCCAAATTTTACTTAAACGTGCCACTTTTTTCACTAATTTGAAGGCTCCCAAAAAATATGCAAATCAAAATTGCGCTGCCTAAAAGTATGCACAAATACTTTTATATGACCAACATTTGCAGCCTTTAAAATGTTCTGAGTAATTTTTTTATTGAAAAAACCAAATTCTAAATAAAGTGTTTTTTTAAGATTTTAAATCTAAGTCTATATTGTGATTTCTATATCTCTGTTTTATTTTTAAATATCCTAACACCAAAATATAATATTTTAAAAACAAAATCTAAAAAATGCTATCAACTTTTTGGAAAAGAAGTATATATGGATATAGTGCATTTTATACATATTTTTATTTTGTAATATCGTGTTGCCAAAATTTAAATTTAATAATTATAAAGAATTAAATTAAATAAATTTAAATAAATATAAAGAAAATTATTGCCTTCATCAACCTAACGATAAAAGAGAAAATTACAATCATTGGAAATTTTCCGTTCTATACACATAAATATTTTCTTATTCTAGATATAAAATCTTAACAAAAATGTATTTAATTGATTTATTACTTAATATATATTTATTGGCTTATCTATAGAAAATAAGTGTACTTCAATGATTTCCACTGATATCTGATTCTTAGTATTTCAGCTCGAATAAGATTGAATCTGTTTGTGAAATACTTGGAACGCCTGCTTAAGGTTATTATTCACTCGTTAAAAAGTCAAGTCCACGTAACAAGCATCTGCAAATCGAGATTTTTATGACTAAATGCATTTTAAATTCTGACTATATTTATCTTTTGCGTGTGCTACGTCAGTGCTACCTTTTTGTTTTTTTCTTTTTTGCTAATATGGCTTTTATTGTACGCCTGCGGCTTGACAATGAGTATGGATATTCCCACTGAGTCACCGTCTTTCCCAATGGATAGAGAACCCGCCAAGCGGCTTCGAAGATCGTTGGCCAATTGCGCCAGGTGACGCGTGCTGGAAGCGCGCTTGGAATGTAAGTGAGGTTGTGTGTGTGTGAAGCTTGATAAACTGTTTGGTGCAGCACGCTGTAAAGCCAAAAGCTTCACTTTTCCTTTCAGCTGTAAAACAGCTGTTTGCGTTGCTGTTAAATAAGCTTGGATTTCTTACGAATGTTAAGTATTTCTTGGTAATTTTTCAAAAGTTTACATATGAAGCCACTGCTTACATAGTGACGTCAAGCTGTAAGCATTTAACAAAGACTAAAACAGCTGTAGCAGCTGCGCTCACTGCCGGTCTGCCGCCAAGCGATAACGCTCTCTCTCTCTCTCTCTCTCTCTCTCTCTTTCCTTCTCAATATGACTTGCGTTAAGCTTTGCTTAAAGCTGCACTTGCTGATTGTCTGAGCTTCAACTTGTCGTTCAGTTGCTTTCTTGTCGCGCGCAACGATAAGCGTGTGTGTAGCCAGTTGCTGTGTGCTCTCGCTCTCGCTCGCGCCGTCGCCGCCAAACAGTTAAAGCTCATGTGCAGTTGAAATTAAATATTAATGCTTAATATCAAAGACGCGCGTCTCCCACACGACTTATACTATAAATATTCCACCGGGGAAAAAACACGCGCACGGAGACGGCTGCTTAAAAGCGATTGCATCGCGCCAACTGGGCTTCATTTTAGGCAAGGTCAAGCCTAGCGCAACACCACGGGCTGCGAACCATCTCGAAAGAAAAAAATAAATATAAAATCATAAGCAGCAAATACTAAAGTGAAAAGCAAAGCGACTAATTCAAGTGTCGTCGGTAGCTGTTTGCAGGCACTGTGCAAAGGAAACAAAAACAAAGCGGAATAAGCAAAGAGGCGGCTGGAAACATTTATGAACAAAAAAAAAAACAACAACTAAAAGCAGCTTCGATACCAACTACAATAATAAAAAGAAGCAGTAAAAACAGTCAAAACAAAAACAACAACTACAACAGCAGGCAAATAAAGCCCGGCAATCATTTTAGTCGTGCCAGTTTGTTTATTAAATATACTACGTAAAGCGCATAAAAAAACACAGACAGACACACACACACACACACTCTAACAAGCTTACCTGCAAACGTGTCTCAAAACAGACGACCAGCTACCCTGTAAAAACGTGGCAACTTTTTGTAAATAAATATTATAAAAATAAATAATCCTAGAGCTAAAAAGAAAATGCCTCCCACGTGGTGGAAACTGATCAAAATTATGTTGCTCTTCGCGCTCTTCGCCACGGTGAGTTTTATAAAGTTTATAATTTGAATTATTTTACAACTGAAGCTTACATAAAGCGCGTTTCATGCAATGGGCTAATACTAAGCATTGCTTTTAAATTTAAATAAATATTCAAAATATTAATGTGCATCAATGGTTGTGGCTAACATTTAAAATATGTATATTATATTAATATTTTACTGCATTTACATCAATTTATTAAGCTAATTGCATCTGGTGTATATAACGCTCAATCATAATACACATATATATTAAAGGGCATATATCCTGTTTTTCTTCACTCTTCTTTTCCCCACTTTAATTTCATACAACTTTCTTACTATGAACTTGATTAATGCGCATTCGAATGAGTATTGCAATAATATTTGCCCCCTTAGACAGCTCGCACACGACTTTTATAGTTTATTGATATTTGCAATAACAATGTTTCAACTAGAAACTTAATTACAAATTGTATTCCAATTGGAATGTGTGTGTGTACAAATTTGAATATACGAATAGCAAACATGTTCAAACTGAGTTGGGGAGCAGACGAGTTTTCCAACAATTTCAATACACTTGCCACACGCTTATCAATCCGCTTGAGGCGATATCAGCCAAAGCAGGGCCAAAGGGCCGATGCTCTCTATGGGGATTTGTGGATGAAGCACATTATCTGTAAGGCAGATTTAAAAATCCGATAAATATTTGAAAAACAACATATGTACTTCTGCTGTGTTCCGCAGTTAATTGCTTGGGAAAAACTATCCATAAGAAATTTGTGTAATCTAACCAGAATCTATTTATTACCTTTAATTAAACCTATTTATAGCTCGACCTGAGTTGGGGGCAGATTTATAAAAACTTTATGGCAGGCCGAATCGCAAGTTAGGCAAATTGAAATGTGCGCACAAATTTCAGCGACTTTTGTGAGTTTCCAAAACTTCTGTTTTGACTTTTGTTAGCTATTTTGTTTGTTATATATTTTTAGATGTTTTCTTTTTTTTTGGTTTCTTTTTTATTAAGTTGTTGTCTGTTGTTGTTGACACATGCAAGGCAGCTGCCAAATAACAATTATATTAGAGGCTGCCAAAGAGGTAAACAAAAAATACAAGTAAGACAAGTTATTGCCGACGCATAAATACTCTTGCTTTGTCACGCAAAGTAAACAAAATTAAATACAATTAGGACTCTGCAGCGCGCGACTATCCGAATAAAAAAAAATACTCTTGCACTTAGTCACACAAGGTTTTTTTTTTTAATTTTTCCTATGAACTCTATATGATAAAGTCAACTTTTGATAGGCCTTTGTTTATATGTATGTGGGTTGGGGGCAGAGTTCCGCTAGTACACTCAGAGAAAAATAGATCGTTGCGTTCTGGTTCAAACTGAATTGAATTTGGAATAAATTTTAATTTAATATTTAAAGTGCAATAAATCTAATACAAATCGTTCTCAAATACGTACGTGTATATTAAATCAAGGTAATACGGAACAGAATACGTCGAATTTTGAGATTGTTTTTGCTTAATTTGGGTGCACAGTACTTGATTTTTTTCTCTGAGTGTAATGGCTATTCTTAGTTAAACTATCTTTAAAAGTAAATGTTTTTACGATAGTTCCTTTGAAGGAATAATAAGCTATTCTAAGAACCAAAAAGTGATTTTCATACAAAAGCATTCCTATATCTATGACAGCCATATTATATGGTGAGCTGATCTGATCAACTTCTTTATATATAGTATCTGCAGCGAAAATACGATTTTGTGCCTTAAAACTGAAAGACCAGTTGGCATAGAAGCAGACAAGCTATGGGCTTGCCCCGACTGTTGACATAGATCAGGAATACATATACACTTCAAAGCTGCATCCCTCGAAGAGTCACTTATTTTATAACATCATTATTATACCCCTTAGATAGGGTATAGAGGGTATAATGTATAAAACTAAGAATAGAAACTTGTTAGAAATGTGCGCCTGTGCATATAAATACGAAACAAATAAAATCATTCAGTAGTTCTCCCATCGTGGCACACTTTATATACTACCTATATACCCAAGTATTCGTTTAATCATAATCTATGGTCGCCAGGCACTTACGTATACACAAGCTGATTACTCAAGCGCGGATCGGTTGGTGTCATCGGCGGAAAGCAGTTGCTGTGATTGTTGTTGCTGTTGTTGTAATTGCCAAATGATAAAGTGTTTGGGCAGCATTTAGCAGTTCCGGCAGTCATCGTCAACTTACTCGCTTATACCTTCTCCCCTCCCCTTTACCCCTTCCCCTTTCCCTATTACACGCTCTACTCGTGTACAGTCGGCAATGTTGATCAATGGCAAACAAAATCCTTCCACATGTATCTTTCAGATAGTTTATATCAATAGCGAAATGTCGAAGCGACGCAGCGAGGCAGCCGCTGCAGAGGCCAACAGCAGCTCCAATGACACGATGTCCTTTGTCTCCGACAATCTACTGCACATGATGCGCACCAAGGCGCAGGAGCAGGACCCATCCAAGGAGCAGCAGCCGCAGCGGGACCCCGGCGAGGTGGAGGTCTGCCCCGAATTGCTTGTCCTAAATGTTTAAATTAATTTTGAATGCGTTAAATGTTAAATGTTGCATATATGTTGCGTTTGTTTGTTCTTTGGGTTTTCTATTTTCCTTTTTTTTTCTTTCTTCTTATGTGCGTGCCATTGACAATTTGAAAACTAAACGTTTTCCCACTTTCTCGTTTCGACATTTTCACTGCAGCTGCCCGCCGAGGATATTGACGAGCGCGTTCGTTCCATATTCAAAGTGCACGATGGCCATGGTGTGATGCTTTTTAATGTAAGTGTAAGGCGGCACCCACATATCATATCAAATCGTATCCACATTCCGCATAACGCATTCCACATCAACTCATCAACTCGTCCACTAACCGTGTTTCTGTGTGTTTTTGTGTTGTGTGTACTTCGTTTTGATTCGGCTTAGCAAAAAAAAAAAAAATAAATAAAAAATGAAAAGGAAACATAAACAAAAACAGAGAAAACTAACGCAAAATTTACACACACAGACGACGGCCACGAACGATGATGCATCCATCATGCCCATATCCGCCGAGCACCAGGCAACCGAGTCCTGGCCACCACCCACTCACACTCAAACCCAGTCTCAGTCTTCGTCTCAGCCCAAGCCCAAGCACTACCATCAATATCAAAGCTTGAATCATCAGCAACAGTCGTTCAAAGTGCAACGCTCACCGGATGGCAAGCTGAATCTTGTCTTTAATGAACCCATCGTCTCTTTGCAGAGCACCGCACAGCAGCAGCCACCGCAGCAGCCGCCGAAGCAACAGCAGCCACAGCAGCCGCGTCGCCCCATCTCAGACAGTGAGTAGCCCAAGTTATGTAAAAACATTGCAGTCTGGTCCAACCGACTGCTTAATACTCTGCTCATAGTGCAAAAGCGTTTGAAATCATTCGAAAAAGTCCGCTTGCTTTCTTCGCTGGTAGGTCTAAAACTGCAAATGCAGTGTCGTTAAAACTGTGACTTCAGGAATATCCTTTTCAAGGGGAATTACAGTTTGTTGGCTATTGGATGCGACCCTAAAACTGTAAGAATAGAATTCCTATATAAAGGGCGAGTGTTCTTATAATAAATTACTCTGAACATTTTTAATGGGTATTAAGGAGTGTTGATCATTGGCTGGGTGACTCTAAAACTGTAAGCCGAGAACAGTGTTTTGAGATAACCTCCTTAAACATTTTTTGTAATCCGACTGCAGTTCAGTTCAAAATGTGAACTGAGAAACTTCTCCCTTTTTAAAAAATATTAAACATATGTAATTGTGTTAAATATTGGGTGTGTGACCGTAAAACTTTAAACCGATTTCAGTGTCTCGTGAGAAAGTAACGCCTTTGAAAGGATCATCTTAAACATTCTTAATGAGTATTACCAAGTTCTTAATAATTGGAGTAGACTGTAAAACTCTATTCCGAATGCAGATTCTTTGTGACTTGAGGAATAATGTTTATTAAAGTGTTTATTAAAGTGTTAAATATTGGCTGGGTGTATGTAAAACTAAGTCCAAGGCAGTCACTTTTAAACTGTCTTCGGGAAATGTCCAAGCCCACAATTTGAACACTTTACTTCATGGAGTATATACGTTCGTAACTAACACTGACTAAGCCAGTCACATAAAACTGTGATCTATTTATAGATTGATATTAATGAACCTGATACACTTGCATATTTTTGACGAATATATAGTTCACGCTTCAAAACTTCAGCAATACCAAAACAAATATACCTCTTTGCAACTTGCGAACAGAGTATTAAACTATATCCTTGTCCCAAATAACAACATTTCTATACCAATTACATTTGATACAAATTAACAAACTAAATCAATATCATGCTCGAATACACGTTCAACTCCCTTGGCGCTTGCATAACGTCCAGTTATCGTGTTTCCCGACTCTATAGATAAGTATCGACCGGCACAACCGGCGCCTATCGATACGGGCGATCTGCAGTGCGTGGATGGGTTCAATCAGAGTCGCTCCTTTTGCACCAAGGTGAACAACTATCCGGATTTGTCCGGCCTGAAGGGCATATTGTCGCGCCGCTTTGCCAATTTCTTCAGCGACGAGCCGCAGCCCACGGATTTCGGACTGCGGATGAACGATGACGAGCAGTATTTGTGCAACAGCCATGTGCGGTACTTGTACCCAAAATTGGGCCAGAGATTGGATCAGTCCTGGCAGTATATAGTCAACACGGATGAGTTCAAACAGGGCATACTCATCGAGGAGTGCGAGTAAGTGCAAGATTTAATTTAATCTGTAAGCAACCAATCAAAAACTAGATTTCCCTTTCAGTCACGAGGGCGAGAGCTGCCAATTTCTGGACAGCTTTCCCAACAACTATGTGCCCGTCTGCAAGCAGCACTATGTGATACGTCATCTGGCCACCATCAACAATGCCAGCAGCGGCCAGCCCGAGGTGGCCAATGAGCCCTTCAAGATACCCTCCTGCTGCAAGTGCGTCATCAAGAGCAAATTCTCGGTAGAGAGCAAACCCTGAGAGACTAAGCAAAACCCAATCTGAATGTTGATTATAGAATGTCGAGCCAATTTCTGCAAATGTGATTTTGATGTAAGCATTTATTATTTATATTTAATCGATTTGCTTTAAATGCTCATAGTGTTACGGCACACGAAATTTGGACTGGCTATATATATCTTCACACACAAATATATATACACATATATAGCTTCATTCACTTCACTTGATCAGCTTCCGCAGCGTCCAGCCCATGGCATAGAATCCAACCAGCTTAATGGCCATACGCTTGCCCTCCACATTGCTCAGCTGCTTAAATCTCTGGTTCAGATTTCCAAACATGCCATCCATTATCAATCACTCTTAAAAACAAATATCCCTGTAGATCAAATAACAAAAGGAGTAAAGAGTGGAGTATATAAACAAAATTTAACACACGCGAACGTAAAAAGAGTTTTCGATTTTCGTAGATTTTTTCCCGATACTTCCGAAATATTTATTTGGTTGCTGTTACTTATAAAGCATATCTATAAAGACTAACAGTGTGTGTGTTGTTTTTTTTTTTTAAACCAAGTTGTTTGACACCTACACAAAAGCTATCTAGGTCAAGCAGCATGAATAGTTCGAAACGTTTCAATTTATTGCAATATTTTGTCATTTTATTAAAATTAATTCTATAATTTATTGTTTTCATTTTCAGCAACAAGTTTCACCCACCACAGAATGGCAGGCCAAACTGTCTAGGGTCATATTGTTTTTATAATCTGTAGACTAGTTGTTTTATATGCACATAAAACGTATCTTAAAATAAGTATAAATAATCAGTACTATATCTAATGCCTAATAATAATTGCAAACACTCATTGAATAGCCATAAATTTATTATAAAGTTTAGTATTTACAAAACATTACTTATTGACGCTGCGCTTATGCTGAAAACAAATTCGTGTCGTACTTTTCCACTCGGCTTAATTTCCATGTAAAGACTAGAATAAATGCATGTAATTAGTCTTAGTTATACAAAAAAAAACCAAAAAAAAAAGAAATAAAGTAAAAACTTTAAAACACTAAAAGCTATGTTAAAATATCAAATATCACGCACAAAAAAAAGTATGTCAAAAAGTTGCAATCGACTACAAAATACTCTATTTATGGTGTAAAATGAGTCGAATCGATTATCTCTGATTCTTGAGCTGCTGACTCTAAAACTGTTAACTTAAAGCAGTGACTCTTAAACTGTGATTCGAGTAAATAACGAATTGGGAAATTTGTTGTTGTAGGTCTGCTAATATGCTTAGCTTGACCTGTTAAGGCTATAGTCAGATTACATGCTAATTTTGAGGATAAAGTCAGATTACCTGCTGTGTTGTTTTTTTTTTCAATTTCAACCTGTGATTGGGAAATATCGATTAACGTCTGATAATCTGGCTTTCTTTAAGAGAAACTGCATATATCTCTTTGTGACCAATTTTTAATTCTTCAACATGTGCAAAATATCTGAGAGTTACTCTAAAACTATAACTCCAAGGCAGTCACTTTCAAACTGTTAACTTTGATTCGATTAAATACTAGCTAAACTAGCTCCAAAATTGTGGCTGATATAGATATTTGCGATTGGCCAGCCCTCTAACTGTTCGAACAGAGTATTACATGTGAGATTCTAAAATATGTTTGTGCATGTACCTCGTCAGTGGGCAATAGTAAAGTTCTTTGAACTCAATTGTTACCCAATGTAGACACGATGTCAAAGTAAATAGCTGAAACATTTTTCTTTCTGCCAACTAGCCACATGGCCAATAGTATGCAGCATGTAAACATGCATTTGCTTATTAATAATAATTCTAAGCGCACGCTGTGTAAACTAATTACAGCTGATGTGTGTAAATATACACCCACACACACACACACACACACACACACATATGCTATTTGCTACCACACGGGGCGTATGCGCGTTGTGTCTGTTGCCTGCATTTTTGGTTTGTTAGCTGTTGCCCCTGGTGCGCGGCAAATCGATAATATTTATCGATTCTAGGCGCACTATATCCCAGTAAGTATGTCAAAGTTAGGTCGAACAATGCGAATGACTTGGCCAAATGTCTGTGAGAACAACAAATATATACATTTATATGTATTTAAGTAGGCATTTAATTACAATTATTTTGTCTTAAAACCGACATTGGGGTATTGCACGACCATTAATCATATGGATTGCATATATTTTGTGTAGATATATCTCTATATATATATCTATATTTATCAATTATATGTAGTTGCCTCCACCCGGGATCCAATTCTAATGGACTTTTTTTTCCCCCGATTACGACACTTACCCTGCCAATCAGTTGGGTTGGGCAATTTTTTTTTTGATTTGTTCCCCAGACCAAACAGCTATAAAGTATAGGAAAAATACTGCTACGTATGCTAACGAAGATGAAATACTCTTGCTAAATTATTGCATATTATGTATATGATTTATATGGAACCTTTTACACTTTTTTATATATTCAAGCGAGCTCGAAAAAAGGCAAATATCTATTGATATATCTATATAAATATATAAAAGAGCTTGTCCTGGCCGATTAGCTGATTAATGATAAACGTACAGCTTAAACGGTAAGTAAGAAGATGCTGAATTTTGTACTGAAGCTTCATCTTGGCTTAAAAGTGAGCACTTTGAAGTAAGTTTGAGAAATTCTGTACTCTAATTTGGAAAAAACGATGGTCAAAGTTTTGAGTGAAAAATATGAACAATAACGGGGCATATAATTGCAAACGTGACGTCATGCGCCTGCGTGGCTTACTTACTGGGAGTCGAACCAGCGTGCGGAAAGTCGCCGGCTCAAAACTGGCAACAATGTGCAAGTTTTATTTAGACGTTTAGAGCCCGGGCTTGGTTATATATATGCGGAAGGTCGCCGGTTCAAATCTACCAACAATATTGAATTCATACTTTTATGTTTACTGCTTTTATTGGTTATATGTTTATATATATAATATATCGGTAAGAATAATATATACAAATATAAAAAGCCAACCAATATTACTTGGCGAAAGAAAATGTATAAAAGTAATTTGTTATTGTCTGTCAACTTCTATGTGGCCCACAGATACTCTACTTGGCTAGACCAATGGCATGAGGAAGTAGCCATGCCCCACATGTCCTGCGAGTGTATTATAATGTGCTGGACAGTCAGACAATCGCATTGTTGTTGTGGTTGTCATTTGTTGTTGTTGCTGCTGCTGGCGAGTGCTGGCTTGTAATTGCCGCAGCGCATTTGCATGGCAAAAGGAGTTAATGGTGGTTGCCTGATTTGTTGCTGTTGTTGTCGCTTGTTGTCGCTTGTTGTGGCTGTTGTTGTTTGTTTGTTGCTGTCGCTGGGTCGCGCGGCCTTATAAAAACCTTCTGTTGGCCTCAACACGGCTTCAATACGCCGGCAGTCGGTAGTTCAGTCGTGTACGGTGCAAGTGCCCGTGCTGGTTGGGTCTTCATATTTATTATACGATATTTCCTATGACTTTTGCAGTGGCTGCAGCTCCGGTTCGCTTTATGCACAATTATGCAACTGACTGCATAGGTCAAAGGCTAAAGAGAAGCTTCGGAATTTGTGTGTCGACGCCTTCATCTGCGCCAGCAAAACGCTTGCAACGCTTCATTTATATGCGCAACATGTGGTGTGCGCCTCTATGTGAACCACATTCAGCGACTGCCAACGCATATTAATGAAGCACATCACAATTTATACGAGCGTTCATTAAAAAAAAAAAAAAAAATAACAGAAAAAATCCCACGGGGAAAATGAATAAACGATTTAAGATCAACTAAGTTGCGGTTTCGCAGCAACGGCTACAATTCCAATATGGATGCTGCCCCACCTAACACACGTAATCGCATCTGGACAACGGCCAGCGCCAACAATGGCTACTTCGACGACAATCTGCAGCAACAGCCGCTGCCGCTGCAGCGTCTACAAACGCCGGGTGAGTCAATGCTAAAAAGTCTAGTTTGAAAACATATTTAGTTCTTTATTATATTGCTGTTAATCCGCAATTTAAGTACCTAAAAATGATGTGTAAGAAAGGCAACCGAACAACTCGAACCGAAAAAATAAGATTCCACCAGTAATAGCTTCAACTCTTAGTTCTCAATTGAATTTTTATAAATATCTTTAGAAATGATTTTGATGTCAATCGGAGAGATTTCACAAATTTTCCACAGTTGCGGGTGGAAATTTTTAAAGCGTTAGGTAAATAACGATTGCATATATGTACGTATATGTATGTGTATTTATAAAGTAAAGTACTTAAAGTAAAATATATGTACCCCTTATCCATAGCAATTTAGACCTTTCGAGTTACAAGCGGTGCATTGATTCATTAAGCAACCACAATGGAACGCAAATTGCTTGACTTTAAATATGTATAAATTAATCACAAGGCAGCGAGTGACCGTTTGCAATAATTATTCACATGATGACGAATAAGAATAATATCATAATATTTAACACTTAACCCTTGCTTTTATTCATTTACTCGCGGGGAATATAAAAAAAGATCTTTACCAAATAATGCTTAAATATGATCATGTTTTACATTTTTTACTATCGGGCATTTTCTCCTGCTTCTCTGGCTCGTTTACTGCATTGGGCAACATTGTTTTATCATTAGCTTTTTCTACTTCTTTATCTGTTTCTGATGCATGTGTGGATTTTTCGGAGTCTATATCCATTAGCACTTCGCTTATCTCTTCTGTTTGCTTATGCTGCTTTTTTGATTTCTCCAAAAGCCTCGCGTTTTTATATTTGGAAACACAGTTTAGCAAGAACACAGCTAAAGCAATAGTTAGAAAGCCTGCCCACAGCTCCATGACGCATTCCAAGGGATGCAAAAAATGTGTGTTTAGCTCCTCTGCACGATGCATATAGTCGGTTATACCTGATACGTCCTCGGCCATGGCATATATGCTAACTTCCAGGTTAAAAGTTTCATAACCAAATAATGTTAGAATTTTGGACATTGTTAAAATGTGTAATTTTTCTCAAAACTTTTTAATGTTTACAAATTTTGTTTCTTTTAGTGACAAATAAATCTAATGTATATTGTTAAATTATGTTTATAATTATAATGCTATTCATATTAATATTACTGTTATTATTTGTTTCTATCATTATTATTATTATATTATTATTATTATTATTATTATTACCATCATTATTATTATTATTATTATTATTATTATTATTATTATTATTTTTACTATTGATGTGTATTGTTTAGCTGGTTCAAATCGACGAAAGTTTACCATTTGTATATGTGTGTATTTTATTAGTCAATATACAGACTGAAAGAAAGATTAACACATTAAGAAATGGAAATAAAAGAGGCTATAAATAAGCGGGAAATAATCTTGATACCTCTGACATTTTTAACATTATTCATTTGACCCGAACGACGCCGGATAATTTCTTTTGGAGAGTTAAAAATTGATTTTATAATTATGTTTTGTATACAGGATACTTAAAGCTCCTCAATTACTACGAAAACTGATTTTTTTTTGTCTATATATAGTACATAGATATAAAATGCACGTTTGGGGAATAAACATATCAGCTACGCTTCAAAATTAGTTTAATGTCGCTGGACACGCAAAACATTTGCAGTGCATTGAACTAATGGATAATGCATGTTGCAGCTGAATGTGACAGGTTAATGCAACATGCCACACGTATCCGAATTGTAAATAGCCAACCATCCACTCCACCATAACCCAGGCCGGAAAAGGATGGTTGCACTCCTGCCTAATGACGCGCACAGCTAGCAAATGGATCAAGATTGGACAGCAACAGATAAAGAGCAGGGCAAATGACAGACATCTGAACAGACAACAGCAAACTAATTAGTTTAAAGTAAGGGGTACTACGTATTAATATTTTCGTACGATTTTTGAATACGTCAACCTTAAAATACCCTATGATCAAATAACAAATTGCAGTATATTAATATAACTAACTCCATGTAATGTATGTCCATTACAGCTAATCGGAATCTATTGTCTGGCCAACTGGCACCAGTTCGAGCTTTTAGCGAAAATGGACAGGCGGGCAGTGCCCAAAGCAAACAGCTGCCCTACGAGACCATCAACTCCAATCTGATTGGCGTCCAATCCAAGTTTGTACTCTACATTTCTTATGAGTTCTTACTAATTGATGGACTTCTTACCAAGCATTCCTTGTTAAGAGGTTCTTTTTATTAGGGATCTCTTAACAAGGAATTCTTTTTAAGGAGTTCTTACTATGCATTTTGTTTTAAGAAATTTTTTTTAATGATTGTTATTTATGATCCCTTACTAAAGATCCCTTAGTGAGGAATTTATTTTGATTCTTAATATGCAGTTCTCACTAAGGAGTTCTTCTAACACCCTTTAAGGGTGTTTTTACTGAGGACTTCATATGTAGTTGCAACTCAGGATCTCTTACTAAGGAGAATTATAATCTCTTATTAAGGAATTCCTTTAAAGGAGTTTTTACTAAGACCGACTTCTTATAATGTTCTTGCTGAGGATCTCTTACTAAGAAGTTCTTACTAACAAGTTATTTTTTAAGACATCTTAGCAAGAAGTTCTTAACAAAAAGGTCTTAAAAAGAAGGTCTTATTAGGGAGCTCTTACTAACAAGTACAAAGGAGGTATTAGTAATTAATTCTTACAAAGGAACTTTTCTTTTTTTCCTCACAGATTTCGTCGCAGCTATTATCACAAGGTCGTGCTGGGCATTTTGGCAGCCCTGGTAGTCATTCTGCTGATAACAATCATAGTCATAAGCATAACTTGTGAGTATCTGGACGATATTTAGAACTCCCTCAGATCGCAACATTCCTCCTAATTGGCTGCTTTTTTGTTCAGTTAAGAAATCTAGTCATATATGCCGCAGTAAGGAGTGCATCCGCACAGCGGCCAGCCTCATTTATGCCATGGACGAACAGACTGATCCTTGCGAGGACTTTTACAAATTCTCCTGCGGCCGCTGGGCCAACGAACATCCGCGTCCCGATTCGGCCACTTCGCATGATTGGTTCCGGGAGCGACAGGCGCATATAATGCGTGTGGTTCGCTCTTTTCTACAGTCGAATATTAGCAGTGAGGAGCCTGCTGCCGTAGGCATGGCCAAGACCATGTACAGGGGCTGCATGGACACGGATCTGCTGGATGAGAGGGGCTTGGAGCCACTTGTGCACTATTTGCAAAAGTTCAAGCTGCCGGTGTTGCCCTCGGCCTTGAATCTGACCCTGACCAGCGGCTCAAAGTATGCCACGGGGATGGGCAACTTTAGCTATAATTGGCTGGACTCGGTGGTGACTATCAAGCGGCATCTTAGCCTGGATTTAATTGTGGGCTTCGATGTGTTTCCCGATCCTTTGAATCGTACGCTCAATCGTATTGCGCTCGGCACGCCCGAAACCGATTCCGCATTTCCCTTGTGAGTAGCAAGGGATTAGTGTGTTTAATTACCAGCTACAATTGAGCCTTCATTTTCGCCCAGCAACAATGATGACTCCCATAAGATGCTGCGCAAAATCCACAGGAAAACCATCTACATGGAGAACCTGGACGAAACCGATGACAGCGATGATAGTCACGAAGCGGAGGAGGAGGAGGCCAGCAAACAGACAAGTTCCGGCATGTCCGCCTATGCGGCGTATGTGCGGAAGATCATTGAGAAATATTTGCTCTATGTGGATCCCGATGTCAACCAGGAGGAGGCCGCAGTGGGCATAACCGAACTGGTGAAGCAGGCTGACAAAGTGGCACGCAAGATTCATTTGGTTTGTTTGGATCATGTCTAATGCAAACTCTGTTCAGTTAATTGCTTTGGGTTTTTGCTTGCAGCTGAAAGAGGAGGCGGAGAACATGACAAAGCCCTCCAAGAATCCTGCCGAGGATATTGTATACATTTCACTGCTGGAGCTGCAGAATCAGACGGATAAGAACATTGCGCCGCAAACAATGCCCATTTGGTTGCGCTACATGCAGCTCATACTCGAGGATACAAAGCATGCGTCCACAACGGATGCCATCAAGAATACGACTATTATAACCAGCCAGGCTGATATATACTATCTGCAGAACATTGTCGAATATCTGCACGAGATGCCCGCCATGTATATTGAATCCTATTTGTGGCTAAGCGCCTTGGAGGAGCTGGTGCTGCACACGACCAGCGACATGCGACTGCTCCATGCGGAATATATGCGTCTAATCATTGGCACCGAGGGCAGCACACCGCGTTCCCTGTACTGTGCCCACGGCGTGAATGCCCTGTTCGGCATGGCCGTGAGCTATGTGCTGGCTGATGAGCGTTTTACCAGGGAGACCCTGCCACGTGTGGAGCGCATGCTGAGCGATATACGACGCTCGTTTGATCGACTGGTGCGTGCCACTACATGGATGGACGCGGCCACCAAGCGACGGACAATGCAAAAGTCGGCCGAAATGAAGAGCTTCATTGGTTACCCGCCGTGGGTGACAAATGCGACAGCCCTCAATAACCACTATGCGGGCGTTAAGGTCAATGCGAGCACTCATCTGGAGAATCTAATGGGATTTGTGCACTGGGAAATGCTGACCAAAATCAATGATATGGACAAACCGGAGCCCATCGGCTGGGCCACGTCGCCATCCAATGTGAATGCTTTCCATACGTTTCAATCGAATGCCATAAGTAAGTCAAAGCCATTCGTGTGTTCATTTTAATCGTTTTATTGTTATACCCTGTAGACATTGCAATTGGCTGAGGGTATAACGGTTTTGTGCAAATGTGTGGAACCAGCAAAAGGCAGCGTCTTCGACCACATAGATATTAATATACAGCGAATGGATCTAACCATATCTGTCCGACTCAGAGACTTCAAATTTCGGGAATAGGTACAGTAAAAACTCTCTTGGTTGCACACCGATTTTCGGGCGATCGATAGTTTCTACTATTCCATACGCAGATCAAGTGAAGTTCCGATATTTAGTGCCACCTTCAGTTTATCTAGAATCGATAGGCCTATATTTATCCCACTTATGGGAATTTAAGAACTAGGAGACAACAAATATGATATTTAGACTCATGTCTTCAATTAAATTTACTCTACGGCTTATATACCTTTTTCTTGATCGATAACACCATTTCCGAAAAAAACAATAACAATTGATATCCACTTTTTTTTGGCCCTCACCTCGGAGCTTCGGTAGTATATGTTTATAAAGAAATTATGCCAAACTTATTTTAAGGCAACTCGACAGTGTCTACAGGGTATCTAGCAGTCGGTCATTATCACTCTTTCTTATAATCTCTTCATTGTTTTTTTGCAGCTGTGCCCATTGCCATACTGCAGTATCCGTTCTATGGCCTAGGACTCGAGTGAGTTTCTACAGCTCCGTCCAAAAAAAAAAACAGACACACCAAGCACATAGCACCGAGTCACATTTGTCTGCACTCCGCACTTTGCACTCCGCACTATGCACTCAATCTTGGCGCTTTAATCCCTTAAGACAGCAACTCAATTACATTTGTTCGAACGCATCCTTATTAGAGCCCTGAATTACGGCTCGATTGGTACGATATTGGGACATGAGCTGACGCATGGGTTCGATGACAGCGGGCGCCGTTTCGACAAAGAGGGCAACATGGTCGAATGGTGGTCCAACCAGACAATCAACGAGTACGTTAATCGGACCGATTGCTTCGTGGAACAGTACAGTCGCTACTATTTGTCGGATATTGGCGAATACGTAAGCATGGCAACGGAAGGAGAGAACGGCTCGATAAGTTCAATAAATATTTCTGTTCGGCCTGCTTGCAGATTGATGGCGACCTGACGCTGGGCGAGAATATAGCGGACAATGGCGGCATGCGGGAGGCCTTTCTGGCGTATCGCCTTTATGTGAAGGAGGTGGGACGCGAGCGCCTTAAGCTGCCCGGCCTGGAGCATTACACGCACGAGCAGCTCTTCTTCATCTCGTTCGGCAATCTCTGGTGTGAGTCATACACGCCCGCTGCATCGCGCTATGCACTGGAGGATTCGCACTGTCCGGGCAAGATACGGCTGAAAGGTGTGCTGTCCAATTCAGAGGAATTTGCGCGCACCTTCAAGTGTGCCCGGGGCACAGCCATGAATCCGGAGCAGACCAAGTGCCGCGTATGGTGATGATGAAACCAAGTCAAGTGATTTTTCTAAGTACATTTTTATGTGTATTAATTAGTCTAGAAATTGATGAAGCAAACCTTTAAAGCTGCTTTCGGCGCGTATTTTTATAATAGCAATAAATGGAATATTCTGATGTAGCTATTCATTTTTATGGCTGCTTTACTCATTAAAGCCTGATCAATATTACGTATACGCAATTTACATGCTGCGCTTGAAAGTATGCAATACATTTTACGCGTATTTTGGTTCTTCTGACATAAAGTGCTGCATAGTTTTGTGCCCTATAACAATGCGTTTTGTGGATCAAATAGCGCGTGGGTGATTTATAAGCTTGTAAGAATAGAGTGCCTGAATGCACTTATCGTTTTGCCTGCCAAGCTGTATATTAGTTTATTTTTATATTTATAATATTATTATATTGGATTTAATGTTTTATTTCGAACTTCGATTGCATTTCTATGCACATTTATTTATGGATATTTGTAATATACATTCTATACATTTATATTGAGTCAACATTTACAATAATACACTTAGCACTATAAGTATGTAGACACATAACTAGCTTTGCATGCATGTACTCTAGATATAATATATCAATGGGGATTCAGCACATCTTTGGTTCAAACTCATTTCTGTAAGCTTCTGCATTTCAAAACTGTGTGGAGCTCAGGTAGCTGGCACTGTTCAGGTGAAATGCACCAGTTGGTTGACGTGGCTGGAGCCTTGGTTTTGGCTCCTGCGCGGTGCCGGGAGCTACCGCAACACTGTGGTCTCGGCACATGAAAATTGGCTCTGTAAGAATTATGGTTATATGGCTGCATAACGCCGGAGAGAGATCTGCTCACCATTTGCATAGAATTCGTGCGCAGCTTTCGTCTTGTGCTGATGTAGGTGGTGCAGGTGTTCACACGATGTAGGTGGAATGCATCTTCGGTTCCTTTTCAGGCGGCGTGGAAAACAGAAAAACAACAACAACAGCAATTAACAATTAAAAGCCTTGTTAAAGTCTTCATAATAAATTTAATATGTTAAATTATGTGCTCACGCATGCAGTTGTTGGGTCTTTGTGCTATGTGTGCAACATGCATGGGCATATGGGAAACTCTGGGAACTAACTACCTAGGGGAACTAGCTAACCAGAAATGCCAGGCTTTTTGTTTTTAATACTCGTTCACAATGTTAAAAGAGTATAATGGTTGCAAAGTGTGTACCGGCTTCAGACAAAGTTTTAATTTTATATTGCTATATATATTTATGGCTCCCACATTTCACAAGCTGGAAACACTGATTTTGTCGAACGTCTCCAAAGACAGATACAATAAATATATATGAAAATCGGAAAAATAAATATATCGTAATAAATTGGCCATTTAGCCTATTTTAAGCATTTATTGGACTGTGAACGAGTATTACGCAGTCGGTTACACCCGCCTGCAACATTATTATTATTTTGATATTTATTGATTTTCCTTTTTTCTTTTGGCATACAAACGTTAAGACAAACAAATTTGAAATACATAGTAATGTACTAAAGAGATAAGGGAGGAGGCACCTAATGCGTATTTTAGGTTTCCTGACTAGACCATCACCATTTCGGCGATTGTATTTGGAGGTCATCTCACCGGTTGCTTCATAGCTGCGCTCGCCGCGACTGCGTAAATATCGATGCAAGCAGCAGCAGCGCCGCAGGCCGGGCACACGGTACATTATCTGTAGGAATCCGCCACGGAAACGGGCATTCATATAGCAATAGATGATCGGATTGTAGCAGCTGTGCGACATGGCCAGCCAGTGAAAGGCGAACCACACATAGGGCAACGGTTTCCAGTTGGCGAACTCCTCATCGTTAAGCATCAGCTGCAATGGAGAGAAAGAGGGGGGAGGGCGTGAGGGTTTTAGAGAGAAACTCAATCAAAGGCAAGATTTGCGCGCCTTGTGGCTAATTTGCTGCCAGGGCAACCACCGAACCACCGCACCACCCACCTGTAGTATGTTGAATGGTAGCCAGCAGCTGGTGAATACAATTACAACCGTCAGCATCATTTTAATCATCTGTAAGAGCAGAGAACAGAGCAAGAATTAAGGCGAAATGTAATAAAATCTTCATTTAAGCCAAGCAGATGGGCCCGGCCACGACCTCCCCACCCTCCTTCCCAAGTAATGTCCTGCCTCAAAGGATGCTTTGACATTTGCTGCGGTTCAAAGTTCATGCACCTACGGACGAGCACACTCATTTTGTCTATGCTGCCATATACGAGCTTGCCTCACACTGTGGCAACACCATATGCGGCAGCATGGCGTCTGTCCATTAAAGCGGGGTCAACGTATAACCTGATTTATACGCAACGGAAGCAGAGGCCAGACTTGCAGCCAATTTATCAATGCTACAACTTAAATCCAAGTAGCTTAAAGAGCTGCCCATGCCAAACTGGATGAGAGGATTTGTCAGCTGCGAGCCCTAGCCTAGAGTGTGGCATGCCACATATGCCCGTGTGGTAATTATGAGCACATGAAAAAGTTGTAGTAAACGCAGCTGATTTCATCAGCTAAAAGTTAAATAAATAATACATGCTGCTCAGAAGCTCAGAAGTGCTATTTAATGTGTGTGTGTGTGTCTTAGTGTGTGTAAGTGTGTATATCCTGGATACTTTTTGAACATCACAACTTTTCGCCAATAAAAGCAATTTTTATGCGATTTTTCATAAAGTTAAGGGTAGGGTGAATTTGTATTCCGGTCTCCATAAAATTATTATCCATAAAAGGGCTAAACGATTTTTGCTTAAGTTGTGCGAATAAATCATCAACTGTAGGACGAAGGAATGCAATATGCGAAGCATTTTTATATGTTCGTCTTAATCAGCCAAACAATAATCGACCGAAACTTGAGTTTTGTGTAAATCACTGTAATGTGGTTCAGCAAAGATAAACAATCTGTTGAATGTATTCAAGAGTATGTAATCTTCTGTTATTTATTGTTGCATATAGAATTTCTAGCGCGTTAGCTTAATAATACGCCACTTGCAATTATTTATGAAGTTAGAACTCCATAGTTGTGTTTATAGTATATCTGTAACACATATTGGTTACTATTACTTTTCCTCTTCCTAATGCAAGTTAAAGAGTTAACTAGTAAGCTAAAAGTTGCACAGACACTTCCTTTTGGGTCGAAAAGAGCAGTATGGCTGAGCTTAGGAAAACTCGACCTACAATAGAGAGCCAGCCGTAGCAAGAGTTAAAAGAGAACTACAACGCAGTCATGCAAGCGTGCGTTGCAAACGTGTCGTGGTTTGTTCAAATCTAGCAGCAATGTTCACTGTATATGTTTGTTTATTTAAATTTAAATTGGAAAAAACTAATCAAATTTAACAAATACTGCAAAATGGATGGATGTCAACAATAGCTGGTTGGTCAATTAGCGCACAAGGCATGCCTTGATTTTTAACTAGATAATTCCAACACACTGTTTAATAGTTCGCTCTCCTTTAATGGTTCAATAAAATGTTCTAGTCAATTTGAGACCAACTAATTTCCATGTGGAAACTGCATAAGCTTTCAGCTCAAATGGCAGCTGACGTAATAAGCCAAGCCTGACTACTTACATATAAGCCGTCGTTTCAGTTGAGTTTTATGATGTGCACATCATTGGGGCACATTTCACGTGTCTACTACCTTTAGGTAAAGAGGTTGCACGACATGGCTGTTAAATGCTGTTGCCAGTCCGCTGACGAAGCTGCCAAAAACTGAGCGGCACCGATGTGTGGCAGCCACCAGAAGGCATGGGGCAAGCCAAGCGTGCGTGGCAAGCAAAATGCCAATAATCGAATCATATGCGAAATTCGATTGAATATTTTGCTCGCCAGCTAAATGTTTATCGCATAATCCCGCTGATATTGCGGCCATATTTACATATGTGACTTCTGCTAACTGTATTTTGCGGCATCTGGGCCAACTGGCTGACAAATAAAATTAAAGGCCAGATGTTGCGCAGAGTCAAGAGTTCATTCGTAAAATGCGCTGGAAATTGCGCTGTAACATAAAGTGGGTATATTAAGGGTATATTAGGATTGTGTAAGATGGAGACATACTCATTTGACGCTGCAGAGCATATTTATTCTCGATTATCACCAAGTTGTCCGAATATCTCTGTATATATACATATAAAACTGTTTGTCTGACTGACTGACCAAGCCGCACGAGTTAAACTGAAACTCTTATTGTGGGTAGCTTTTGCAATGGATGTGTACACATGGGTGGCAAATTCCACCCGAAAGTGTGGAAAAATCGCGAAAACGGTACAATGAGAGATTGAAGATTGATATATTAATAAATCAATATATCAATAAATCAATATATCAATATATCAATATATCAATATATCAATATATCAATATATCAATATATCAATATATCAATATATCAATATATCAATATATCAATATATCAATATATCAATATATCAATATATCAATATATCAATATATCAATATATCAATATATCAATATATCAATATATCAATATATCAATATATCAATATATCAATATATCAATATATCAATATATCAATATATCAATATATCAATATATCAATATATCAATATATCAATATATCAATATATCAATATATCAATATATCAATATATCAATATATCAATATATCAATATATCAATATATCAATATATCAATATATCAATATATCAATATATCAATATATCAATATATCAATATATCAATATATCAATATATCAATATATCAATATATCAATATATCAATATATCAATATATCAATACATATGAACTACGTGTCAAATGAATTTTCATACAAATTCTTGGTGTTGAATTTGAGCCTACAGCTTCGCTCACAAAATCTTTGACCCCCATTTGCACCAAGGAGATTATATTAACGTGTATTGCTTAACACAACGCTATATCTGTCTGCTATGCATATTTCCAACTTTGTATAGGGTATATAATTCTTTTCTTATTTTTTTTATCATATCAGCAAAAAGTATAATGAATCATATTCTATGACGACATTCGCGCTCCCATTGTTGTGGGATGGCATTGCACGCACATAAATGAGTCCTTAACGAGTGTATTAGCTTCCTCTTTAACGCCTCTAATGCCGCCAATGCATTTGGCATTGCGTGCGCAGGGACAACATTAATGATACGCCAAGTTGTACGCACAGGCAGATGTGTTAGTGGGTCGGCATTCAGAATAGCTAAACAAGTCTTTATGTATTGCTGTTGCCGGGGGCAACTGTAATATTTGTGGCAAGTGTGGCAAACAACGAGGTCGAACTGTGAATAGAAGTCTATACATTGACTACCCACTACTACACAGAAAAAAAGATAGCATAATTACGTTTTTTTTTTACACAAAGAACTGATTAAAATGTAAGCCACGATTTGTTATAATTATTCTTAATAAATATAGAATTTCTTAAAATAAAAAAACAATTATTCAATTGAGTTAAAAAAATCGTAATCTAATTTAATATTCACGCTCGAAAATGGGCCTAAATTAAACATTTTGGAATTGAAATAAACATACTTGCAGTTTTTCCTGAGTTTAAGAAAATTCGAAGTTTTTTTCAGTGCAGGACTTGGGCTTTTGTGGTAGTAAAATTGTGGAGAAAAGGCTTTTTCTACCTAATTGAAAGCGCAACTTGTAGAAACCACTAAAACTTTGGTGTTGCAAATCGCATTTTATGAAAATATAAGCTCGCTAGCGCTAATGCAACAATGAACTAGAGGCATGCAACGAATTGTGGCAGCTTTAAATGTTTATGTTTAAGGCCGGCCCGGACTCAGGCAGCCTGTGGAATTTTGGTTAGTTAGTTAGTTTTGTTTTTTGGCAACATTAAGATTTGTTTCGTTTGGTTGCGGATAATTTGATTCAGATTTGGCTTTTGGCGGCAGCTTAATTGTTGGCAGTTGCCACAGCAGCAGCACAAGCAGCAGCAGATCGCATCAACTATTTGACACTTTGACTTTTAGCGCGGTCACATGAACCGGTTACGGTAACGTTTACGGTTACGGTTATGGCTACGTTTATGCCCACTGTTAGCTATTATGTCCACCCATAAAGCCGAATGCCTTGTCTGGCGCTTACATAAAAAATGAGTTCGTGTGCTGTATGTTGTAATTCATTAAAAATGATTTCAGCTCCAAGCGAAACACGCCCCTTCTCCCCCTTAAAAGGCACAAGCAACAGCCAGACTGACAAATGATTTTGAATGGCTCTGAAGGGCCGAGCAACGAGCCAGTGAGAACTGAGTGATTTCTGTTTTGATTCGCAGCGAAAGCAGGTCCATTTGGCCTACAAAACGTGCCCCGAGGGACACAAATGAGGTGCAAAGTTTTCTGTCAAATTATTCGCTAATTTAATTTCTTGGCACGTCGCATTTGTAAATAGACTCGACCTGAGCAATGTCTACGGGTTGCCATTTAGTTTGATTAATTAAAGTGATTATATGCTACCAACTTGATTGATATTTAAGTGCTCGGGAATTTGATTCTAGGTGTTAAGTGCGCACTTGCAGAATATACGCAGGCATTTTGTACATAAATCAAAATTTAGCAAATGCCGAAATTGCGTTAACTCATAAGAAGATTTCCTTTTCAAGACATTTTCTCTTAAATCTTGAAATTTGTAACTATAAGTTATTAGGCGTTCAAAATATATTATTATTAACATGATACAATATTAATACTAAAAAGAACATTTTCATTTCACGATATTTTTCCATATCATAAAATTTCTATATATAAACCTATATCTAAGATATCTTGTACTTTCCTTGTGAACTTTTTTGATTAATAAGATGAAGATGAAGATTGTTTATTTTGTATGAATAAGATAGCAGAAATTTTATACCAGTTATGCAAATAATTTAAAAGTCACATTTTTTCTGAGTGTGGGTGTTCTCGCAATTGTAGAGCTTTTATTGTTATTGCGCCTGTTAAGTCATACGAATTGGACACGATGCATTACTCGAGCAAGATACATAACACATGAAGGCACAAATCTGTAGTAACAATCGGATA